CAATGGGTAAATACCATACCAAACATTGAATCAGGCAAAGAAATACTTCTTTTTCAACACTGAAACTTGAAAATGTTTCCAGCATACTTTATTTTGATGCTTACCAGACAAGGACTAATAATATTTTAGAGAGTAAAAATTTCCAAAGCAATTACAGGGTCAGATGGTTTCAGATTCTTTCTTCGCCACTATTTACATTCCCGAATACAATTTAGTGAGAGAAACGAGGAATAACTAAAAGAAAGACTTGCTCCTTGAATTGATTTTTAGTGAGAAAAAGCACCATATAGTTCATAAGAAATTTCAAAACAGCTTTTAAATACAAATGTCATTTATATTTTACACTAAACTACAGTCACAGCACTTTTGTAAAACTTCTTCAAAGGCTCACATGGGGTGGGGGGCACAAATTCCGATTCCTGAAGACTGTTTGAACAAAACATGATCTGGAAAACTGAAATGCTGTAGGGTATAAGATTCAGTCATGCTGCACGACAAAAGAGAGGAAGAACATATGAGGCACAGGCACTAGAGGTCATAATCCCTTCGTATGGGTTTAGCTGAAGCACTGAAGAACCATTTGCTATACGCCTTCCATTCCTGTCACCCTCTCTCCCACCTAACCCAAAACTCAGAGGGGTCTGCAGACAGGTCCCTTCACCACCACTGCACCCTAAGGAAGCTTTATGGAACCCTGAAAACCGCAGCAGCAGCTTGGGCTAAAACCCCTCATTGCACCACAAGTTACCTGCTGTCTGCCATACGGTCTGATCACATACTACCCAACCCTCTCCAACCCCTTAGCCAGGTAGGGCCAAGTCAGCAAAGCAGAAAGTTGCAAAAGGAGGCTCAGCAGGAGATACCAATTGCTGCTAACAGCTTTAAATGGTTTAACGTGTACCTGGTGCCAGAAATAAGGCACTAACTGAAGATGCAGCCATCAGCTATCAAGATACCAGACATTCCGGACTTGGAGAGAAGAGGTGAACATTACTCTTCCATCCTAACTCTATCCAGGATGGAGGAAGCATGGCTCAAAAAGGACTACGATTTGGACAATCAATACATTTCCATTTGCTAGAGTGTGGAAAGCCATGAGCTAATGAATTTTGCACTGCTGACAAACCTTGTCCAATTAGCCGGCAATGTTTGGGAAGCAGCATATAACCCAACACTCAGGAAAGCCTGCAAAACTGAACGAAAGGCCAATAAATCACAGAGTTTCTGCTTTTTTGTGTAGAAAAGTATCCCTGGAAAAACCAAGGTATTTTTTCCCCCCATCACATTTACTTAACTTTTTCACCTCTTACACTTGCCTTGGAGACTTTCAGTTCTATCCCTAAGCAGAAACACAATACCTCAACACAAGAATGGGCCAGTGCTGATGAAGGCCTCTGTATCGCTATATAAACACTCACATCAACTGCTATATCAACGTGCACATCCCTTGTTTAGCAACACACTCATGCCCACTCCCACGACCAGCACCAACTCTTGGGCTGCTTTAGGCTATTTTTTATTGAACGGCACCAAGCTGACTTAAGGTCCCACAGACCCGCACAACTGCTCACACCAGTGATGCCACACTCCAAATACCTAGAAACTCTCCAAGCCTGCAATGGCCCCTGGGCAGCCACCTACTCCTAAAGGGACTTTCAACAGAGACGAGATCAACAAACATATCCCATAATCCTAGAGCAAAGTAAATGGCCCATGGAGCATGGGATCTGTGATAGCGAAATTACAGGCTGTAACAGAGCAGAATTTCCTGCATCCGTTGACTTGAATCCTTCTCTTTATAGCGAGTTTCTCAATAACTGTTTTTTTTTCCTGCTTGGGAGATGAGCAGAATTCAGTCTTTATCAGTTTGATGAGTAAGATTTTATTTATTCATCCTTCTGCCTATACTTCATTACTTCTCACAGTCCACAGCATTTCCCCTAAAGGGACGGAAAGGATTCCCCTTGGTGGTAACTGAAATCTCTTTGCTCTTCAGTCTCAGCACTCTTCGCATTTACTTCTTACACGACTGTCTGAAAAATCCCTTGGAAAAATAGTTCAAAGATGTTTATCTAAACCTGTTGAGACCTTCAGCTAACAACTTTATGGCAATAACTACCCACTCGTTTCACAGGTTACACATTCAAATGCCAGTTTTGTTAATTATTTCAGAGCTCACCTGTAGGAGGAGAGTGGAGGTACAATGCTGTGAAATCTGCACTAAACATCTAGAGTTTGGGTTGGACTTTTCACACCACTATCCAGCAGAGTAGTTAAATACAGATTGCTTCATTTTAGTAAAGACAAATCAGTTTTCAACAGTACAGAAAATACTCCGACCTTGCTTTGTATTTTCCTCTCTCTCAGTTACGCTATGCATGAGATGATGTTCAGGAAAGCATTAGTGAAACCAGTTATGCCCACTAAAACACAAGATTGCCTAGAACAGAAAAATTCTTAAATAGTTGCTGTCTACTCAGCTAGCAAGCACCATCCCCACGTAACAGACAGGTGAAGTAAGTGATCGGGTAAATTTGTCCGCTAGCACTGTGTGAGGGGACAGAACACAAGTCCCCCTTGCCCTCCGCACTGCTCATTGGTACCTATCTGCTGGGCAGAAAACACTTGCCAGAGCCGGTTCACGACCTCCTAGCAGCGTGCCGAATTGGCAGCGCTGTCAGAGAGGCAGTGCAGGAGCCCGGAGACCCACAAGCCTCCGAGGACCCACGGCGGGGATTCTCCAGCTGCCCTTGCCAGGTCCCTGCCACGGTGGCATGGCCAGACAGTGACCTGATGCTGCTGGCAGCCCACCCGGGCTTACGCTGCTTGACACTGCCGAGGGAATTACAGAGTGCTGCGGAGAAAAGGGAGGAAGGCTCGAGAAGCAGCTTTTAATTTTCCACAACTTTCTCTGCACTTCCTCCTCTTAGCGCAAGCCTTCCACATGGTCTCACTTCTGTTTCCCCACATGACTAACAGATTGCATGCATTGAAGGGACAAAAAGCAATCACACGGGGATCTCCCAAACCGCCCAATCTCCCCTACACTGTTCTTTCTCAATGCAGCTTTTATTCTGTTTTCTTCCTATCTACAATGAAGATGCTGAAATAATTAAAGCAATGATTCTTTTACTTTGGATAAGCTTGTTAAGAGTGCTTTATGCTGAAAACCATGACAAATGTACTCTTTTATTATTTACACAAATGACTTTTAGAGCATTTTCCTGATGGACTCTTATTGTTACTTGATAATAGTAATCTGAAATGAACATAGCATGAAAATCTTGAGAAGAAAAGAAAAATTTTGTAACTAAATAATTGAGAGAATACTCTTATAGCACTTGGCATGACAGCATGATTCAGACAGACGACAGCAATATACTGAAGTAATAATGTCACTGTTAGCTCTTTCAAAACAGAAACAGCAGAAAATCCAACCATCTCAAGAATAAAATCGGTGTAATCACTTTCTGAATGCTTATCTGTTGGAACCATAACAAACATGATAAAACAAACCTCTACACATAATTGATAGATCTTTCAGAAGAGAGAACATCATCTTGTCTGTTAGTACAGCCTGAGGGGGAAGGCGGTGGGGGGGACAACATTCATAATCCTTTGGAATAAGTGTTTTCTCTACTTCATCTCCAAAAAAATTAAACAAAAGCAGCTAGCTTAATTATGGGAATAATCTACAGGGAGCACAAACACTGTTAGAATTTTTGGTCCATGACACAAGCCTGAATAAAATACTAACAAAACAAAAAAATCCATTATCTTGGCTCAGAATATTTTGTTTCAGTGTAAAAAATGATCTTTTAGAAGCATGAAGAACACAAAGCCGTTCCCCTCCCTCTACCCATCAACGAACAGATGTGAAAACCCAGTTGCTTCATTCAGATTAAAATGTCCTAATACAAATATACATCTTATCCTAACCTAAAGCACGGGTGGTGTAAACGCAGATTTTGTAAATCGCATTACTTCAAGTTTGATAGTGAAACTTCTGTTTGTTGATTTAATAATTTTCATTACTAAACTCACATAATGAAAATACAGTCAGCTACAGATCGTTAATTTAAAAATGTTTAGATTTCAAGTACTCCACCATATATGGCTCTTTCAAGATCCATTTCTGGAAAAAATGACTACGGTTTTGAATTGTCCATTTGAGACCATGTGCATTAAAAGCAACTTGGAAGTAAAATACTTTTATACTTAACTCTGAGACTCAGCAGTGAAAAGCTGGTACAACAAAACACGAGTAGTTATTCCTTCCCCAACTGAAAATACTTGAAACAACATTCTTAGCTGGACTTTCAAGGTACTTAAACCAAAAAAAGCTCTGCAAGAAACCCACCCTTCATTAGGTATTTCAATCAACTGACTTTGGCCTTTCTGTAGCACTGTGATATACTAGATACACGTATATTAATGTTTAATACAGTTTTAAAACAGTGAAGATGCTACTGGAAAAGATGATCCTAATTCAGACGCAGAATATTAACAGTCCTCTACTACTGAGGCAGAATCACATTGTATCTCATGACACAGTGTTCAAATACAAGGACTTTAAAGAACATCTGATGAGAGCTGAAGAAAAGCCATCCAATCTAAAGAAGCTGTGATTTCAAATTAAAAATACAAGCAGCACAAAGGCCACCAAACACACTTCCACCATTTCACCATGTGATTACAGTTCAGTCGTGCAAGTCAGAGCATGCATGTTAAAATTCTCAAACTTCACAAACCCAGCTGTCATTCCCAATTTCTGCTGGCTTAGTCTGCCATCAAGTAGTCTAGGAAACGACACAAGCTCATCAGAGCTCAGCTTCCTTAATTCATTTAAGATTATGCTTGCTGGCTGACTGCAATAGAAATGTGTATCAAAAGGTCCCTGCAGTCTTTCCAGAGCCGAGATCAGCTGTCAAAATCTACTTCAAATAAAGTTGCATTTGAAAATGAACCAAACCGCAGAAAAAGAGTGTAGGAAACTTTACCTTAATTGGAGCACGGCTAAACTGTATTTTTCTGTTGGCTGGGATTTCATCTTCATCTGGCAATCCATTAATTTCAGAATATTCCATATCAGGTTCATAACAGTTATTTTCATCACTGTCATCCTGATCATCCTGTTCTGTACCTGTCTCTCCCCAGTCAGAATTATATCTCGATCGTACCCGATACACACTGTAGTCAGAGTGCATGTACACGTGGGAACTCTGAAAATTATTCACATCTTCATGCACTTCTTTTTCACTTGCCTCATCATAATGGGACTCAGTAGCATCTGAAACAGCATCTGTGGCAAAATCACCACCTGAAGCTACGTTTCTTGGTACTTCTGCAGCTTCGGGTCTATCAAAGACACCCTCTGCATGCTCTGACCATTCCTTTTGTTGCAACAAAACTTCTGTCTCTGTTTTTGACTTACTCCTACCACAGCTGTCCACAGATCTTTCACTGTCAAGCACGTTGACCAAATCCTGTTGACTCACTGCAGAGCTCTCAACAGAATCAGCACTTGCCTCTGTACTCTTCTTTATTTCTTCAGTTGTTTTTGAACCTGCCAAAGTGCCTGTGGATGTCTTCTGTCTCAGTGCTGAAGGCGTGCTATTCTGCTGAGAGTTCTCAGCGGACATCAAGCCTGTACTCTGTTTGGCTGGCGGAGACCACGTGCTGGTATCTTTCAGAGGACTGAAACCCTCAAGGTTTGCAACTGGGGAGGAGATATTTGCGACAGTCGAGGAGAGGTTTAGCGGATAGTGACCAGTTACAGAGTACTCTTCATTGTTCTCTGACTTTTCTACAATGATTACGTTGTGTGAGTCAGTGTTCTCAAAAACTGCGCTGAGCTGACTCACAGTTGGAGAGACGGTCTCTGTCCTTGGGCTAAGACTGTCCAGTGAATCAGTGCTGCCTCTGTGAGACTTAGAGCTGCACCATTCATCCGGAAGCTCATTGGAAACGACTTTCTCTTTCTTTGGGGAATAGCGATTGGAATGTCCTGTTTCATGAGCATTTCGCTCAAACATCTTCCGAGTTTCAGTAAACTTGGAATAGGAAGGACCATCATGGATAGTATCAAATCTGCTGATCCTTTCTGAGACGGATGATTCCAATTTTACAATTGAACCATCTGCTTTTTCTACAAATTCTTTGGGCCTGATTCGTCTTTGAGGTGACGGAGGGCCACCCTTCCCCCTGGTTTTAGGGGTAACTCCAGCACTTTCACTGGGCTCCATGCCCATTTGCATAAATAAGTTCTTAATTCTATTGACATTTGAGCCATATTTCCTTCCCCTGCTCTGCGAGGCCTCTCCTTCCTCTTTCGTTTTTTGGTCTCCATCCGATTTCGGTTTGTCAAAGGTGCTTTTCAGCGCCTGGAACTCAGTTCTGTAAGCATTCCTGTGAGGAGAGGCACTTCGGAGGGTTGACCTTTCTCCTGAAGACTCTGTTTTCATCATGTTTACTCCAGGAGGGCAAAACCAGCTTACATAGTTTCTGCGGTACCGCTCTCAGTAGTCTGTCACAGCTGAGATTCTGCTGGAGTGTTTTTCTCAGGGGGCACTGCCCTTCAGCAGGGCCATGCTCGACAGAAGATCTGGAGGCAAATATCTAAACACATGCGGTCAATTCTGACAAAGCAACACAACCGAGGACTCTCAAGAACAATGGCTGATTCAACCTGCAATAGAAAGGAGGGTTTTCTGAATCACGTCAGGTACTTGTACTTCTTTAAATCTAAGCCACAATTTCCATTTACCGTTATTTGACGTGTTTACAACAAAATAGTAAAAAAACCCCACCTAACACTGCACAGACACATGAAAACTTGTCATTAGAAACTTTTTCAACTTGATTGTTGCATAATTTGCAATCTATAGTATCATTCCACAGTGAAAGAACAGATTATTGCACCTTACCATTCACAAAGTATCGTATCATGCCACAAACATGCATGCAAAAGAAAGGCAATGTGACAGGAAAAATAACACTACTTCTGTGTTATGGAACTTTTTTAAAAAATATAATAAAAAAATAAAATCCCCAAATCAAACCTCCGAGTTACTTACATCTGACTATAAAGTAATTCATGCAAACACGATGGTTCTGCTTCCCTGAGGCATTGCAAGACAACCCTTGCTCTCTCAGCGAAACACAATGGTGGAAATTCCATCAGACATAATACACTTAGAAAGGCAAAATTAAACAGCAGCTCGAGGGAATAAGAAAAACTGCGCCCAAAGTTAACATCCTCAGTTGACATGGTAAAGAAAGTGAAATCCAGTTAGAGAAAGTTGCCCCTTGCCACGGGCAGCGGTTTTAGCGCCTGGAAGTGCCTAAGGAGGAGCTGCAC